ACCAGATAATATTTACAAGACGTGATCTGGCAAGGCAACATATAGAGCTCTGGGGACATGCAGATGTAAGCTGCCAGCCTTGCATTCAACATTATAATCAGAAACTCAGGAGGAGAACAGCTCCTCACCAGAGGTAGCAGGAGTTGCAAACGCTGACTTCATTCAAATTCTTGTTGGTACCTCAGGCATGAGTGATGGTAGAAGAAGTTGTCACTGGACAACGTATCTGAATAGTGGTTAGTTGCAATGTGTCTATTCTAGAAGATAAAAGGGTGTACAGGGAAAAAAATCTTCTGTAGTGAGGGAGGTGAATCAATTACCTCCACTGCAGGGGTTGTTGGTACTGAAGATGCTGGTACTGTGTACTTTAGCACCACTAGTGAGATGTTTCAGCCAATCATCGGTCTTGTAACCTGGTAACAGGAACCATATGAGCTCACAGATAATTTTTCCAAAGCCTGCCAGGAAGAAAGTTTGGAAAAATTACTCTTTTTAGGGCTAGATACCTTCTTTTCAGTCACCAGCTACTCCATCATTTCTGTGGGCTGTGTGATCGACAGGAATGGAAGATCATGGGATGATTTTTCAGAATTCCTTTTAAATAATTGTTCCTGGTCTACCACGGTCTCAGGAAAGACACATGGATTTGAAAATATTTCATGCGTATCTTCTCAGCTTTCTTATAACTCATCAATCATACTTCATCCGGTTTAAAAAAAAAACATATCACCCACTCTAACTGTCATAAGGATAGTGTACTTCTTAAAAGCTTTTCATTCTTCATCCAGTAAAGTAACCACGATCATTCTTAGGTAGAGTCTGAAGGGAGAACAAGCTTTTATGAGTAAAGAAATAAAGGGGGAGGGAGGGAGGAAGAAAACCAACTCCCTCTCCCCCCGACCTAATATTATGTTCAATTTAACAGCTATCCTTACTAAGAACTAGCATGTACAGAAGAGAGGCAACAGCTGTGAAGTCTGATAGGGTTCAGGATCTGCAGGTTTCAGACACTGGGTCACAGGTGATGAAAGGGAAGAGAAGCTGTTGCAGTCACACTGCCCTCTAGATGCCTGTTTGGAAGTATGGGGACCTCCAGGGTGCAGGAGTCCCTCTACACAATGCTAGCCGAGTGTTTGCACTCAAATGCTCCATCCGGAAGAGAATCTAATGAGTAAAATGTATATGGGGAAGGACGTGAAAGGGATCTTGAGCTCTCACATATAAATCTGACTTCAATCAAAAGGTCTGGACTTGAAACAGTGACTGACAATTACTGTAAAAACCATCTCTGAATAGAGTACACTTACTTGTTAAAAGTAAAAAAAAAAAAAGTGTTCATTTTGTCTAGGGAATTTGCCATATTATATGTTTGTTTTTAGGACTGTGGTAACTGTGATAGAAGATCCTTTCTTATTCTTCTGCATGTGACAACAGCCGTATTCCTGAGACAACTTTCTCCAGTCTGTGCCTTAACAGGCCTATAGACAACTGAAGCGCTGAGAAAGTCTTCCACAAAATGTTTTGGTTTTGTTCTCAGTTAACCACCAGAACATGTGTGCTAAATATCCAAACTAGGTGCCTGAGGCTGCACTTTCCCTTTTAGCTAATGAACGCAGTAACTTATGGACAGATGAAACAACACCCCAGAAGAGCTCTTTCCTTCCTACCTGACTATAAAAGCTGTTCTAAGTTAGCTAGCAGTTATGACATTTGCTGTTTGCCTGAGCTCCATATACACAAAATGAAAAAGTAAGTCTCCTGTTTATCTGTCAAAAAAGTCATCACCCTTCCTTCCTCCTGACTGTTCCTTTTATATAAAGTGATATTAAATGTTCATAAGTATCACACACTGTTGGAACAGTATTTTATTCTACATAGGATGTTAGCAGTTTTCATTTAAAATGATTCATTTTTGAAGTGTTTTTTTTCTTCTTTTGCCTGAGATGAAACTTGCCAGATAGAGCAAATCTATCTGAAAAGAATACTGAAGTCCCTTGGTTTGAGTACACACAAGTGCCTTTTCTGTCTTGGAGAAGAGGGCAGAGAGAAGGATTATAAACTCTGACACACAGCTAGCTGGCTGATGAATGTTTTCTTTCCATCTCATGAAAAAAGAAAAAGATGAATCCCTAAATGGGGAATATCTCTAATAAGGGTACTGTGAAACAGAATAGTCAAGATTCTAGTCAGATGTAATATTTAATTTCAATCTTTTAAACTTTGGAATTTTAAAACAATTTGAAATAAAATGCATTTTTTGGTCATAGAGTATTAACAAAAATGAAGCTTTCCTCCATTTTTAAATAAACTTCTCCACAGAAAATGAGTTTTTTCATAATTGTTTTCTTTTGTAGAGAGCTTTAAGGTGATTTCTCTGACCAGCCCTAATCTGCAAGTCTTCTTTAAGAAAGACAGAAGGAGAATTGCAGAATTCTGCTGTGCAGCCTGTTTCTGCATGGGCACTGATAAAATATGCTTTAGGAAATTACCCTAATTTCAAAAATTATCTCCTTATGCATAAGACATGCAGCTATAAGTATCTCATAATGTTTATTGCTTGGCACAATATGCTGACTGAAATGGTTAGAGTCCTTGCAGCAAAAGAAACTCTCAGAGACTCCAAAATGTAGGGGCCGTTCTTGGGGTCCTGCTATGGCTTCACTCACTGTGTATAAAAGACGTGGAGAAAAAGGGCTGTAAGAATATCCTGCAACAGGCTTCAGTGGGACCTTTCCGTGCAAGCCTCCAGAGGCATGAGACTGTGAAAAAGGGAATGGGCTGCTTGAACTGATCATCAGGAAAGAGCCCCAGAAAATCCTGAGAGTTTTGATGGAGGGCAAACTGAAGACTGAAAAACTCAGGGGTTTAGAGCTTAGATTCTCTCTTTAACAATCAATGGGAGCGCCAGGATATTCTCATATAAGTGAATCCCTAGTGATGTGAGAAACCCTTCTGTTAACCTAGTCCAATGTCTTCTCTTAGTCATGACTTCCTCTGTGAAACGTGTCTTTAAAAAAAGGTTCAGACAACCTTGGGATATTCATGTGTTCCCCAAATAAGAGTTGCCTTTGCTTTGTACAGCATCTTTCAAGTATTTTCAGCGGGAACATGGAGGTATTAGTGTTATTGTACAGGACATAGATGTTTGTGGAGTATTGTTACAACAGGATAAGGGTGAAGCTGGGCTTCAAAGCTTCTGATAATAGTTTTGGGTATCCAGTTTGTTGTATCCTCACAGGAGGTTAAACGAACACCTTTAGTTATTTGTAATTACTGTGCTAGGGTTATGTCCTGCTGGTCCCGCGTTCCTTCTCTTCTCACAGCTCAGGAGGAAATCCTCCGGCGCCCCCTCTTCACCTCTTCCCCAAAACTGAGCATAAAAGCCCCGTGCAGTTCCTTCTGGCCCAAATTCCTGCGATGCAGTGGCAGGACAGAGGCCGAGGTGTTTTTCCCTGCAAGC